ATTCCGGTCAAGGGCATGTACCTGGGTTGCGGGCACATCCCCAGTAGGAGATGTGCAGGAGGCAGCTGATCGATGTTTCTCTCTCATCGATGTTTCTAACTCTCTATCTCTCTCCCTTCCTCTCTGTAAAAAATCAATAAAATATATTAAAAAAAATATTTAAAAAAAAAAGAAGTTATCCTCCTTTGGCTGAATCGACTCCTCTGCCAGTCCTTCACTTCCCATCTTGTCACAGGGAGATGTATCCTTTCAGATTTTGGCTCCCCCGCCCCCCTCCCTCCCCAACAGCAAAGCCGGGCAGCAACAGCCTGTGGCAGCCTGGCCCCCAACAAGACCACACTCCTGAACTTGACAAGTCTAATCTTTGTTTCCTAAAATAGTTAACTTGCCTTCTCACCTCCGAATGGAGGAAACCTCCCGAAGACCCTTTCAGCTTCATCGTGTCTCCCTCATTGTCCAGAACAACAGCGAACGGCTTTATTTGTGTTTGTTTAATCATAAGCCCCTCCCTGATTGAATTTTACTTTTTCGGAAAAGGAAACGAGCCATATACGTAAAGTAGCAGGAACTGAGTTTTTGTGTGATTAGAAAAGCGTTCACCTCGCCTATCTAACTGCCTAGGTAGCTACTGCTGTTTTATTCAGCCCCCGGAGCTGGTTCATAAGCGCTTGTCTGTAGAGCCACAAATCTGTGACCTGCTGTCCCTGCCACGGCCCAGCTGCCTCCAGCCCGACTTCTCTGCCTCAACTCCTCCCGGGAGCCTCCTGTACAGCCTGGGTCCCAGAGGCGTGGCCCTGATTCCCACTGGCCCTGGCTTCCCAGTTGATTTAGTAGCTTCCTTTCTGTTAGGGTCGCCGAAGGAGGAACACACGAGGCCGGAAGGGGTACGAATTATGAAGTTATTAGGTCACCTGGGAAACCAGATGGGCTGAGCCCCACATGGCGCAGCGCCCAGGGACGGGGAGTCGGGATTTTAAAGGGCTCCAGGCGGTTTTTCTGGGCGGAGAATTCTCTGGGTGGGTTCCCAGGGGGAAGATACTGGTCTCAGCAAGTAGAATGCGCTCTAAGCAAAAGGGAATGCCGGTTGTGAATTGGTCTCAAGGTCAGTGCCCATGGGAGGAGGTATCGAGTCAAAGATTTGGTTGCGATTTTTTGATCTGACATTTTCTTCTAGGGCCTGGCTACTCAAATTGGGGTCCCTGAACGACCAGCAGCAAGTCACCCAGGAACTGGTTGGAAATGCAGAGCCTCCGGCTCCACCCTTGACCTACAAGCCAGACTCAGCACCCTAAGGAGACGCCCGCTCGCCTGGCTGCAGGGGAAGCAGGTGCTGAGGGTCTTTGCTCTTCCCAGCAGGGAAGGGGGAGCTGGGGATGAACAAAGGACGGGAAGGAGCACGTTCCCCCAGAATCCCTTCTGTTTCCCACACATGGTTTTAAACACCCCCCCCTTTTTACTTTTCCTCAAGGAAATATTTATTGCCTATTATCAGTGATCATATTTTACAGAAAAATTAAGTGTATACACTTGTCAAAAACATAACATTGAAATCATGGCATCTATCACATTTATATGCAAACTCGCCCTGGTTTTCAGAATTCAGCCGTCCCTCGTGATTCTGGTCCAGGGCCACCCGTCCATGGTTCTCGATAGCTGAGGGTCTTGTCAGTCATTGGAACAAAATCTTCTTTGTATGTGACAGTCGTTTCCACCGGAAACCCTTTCAGGGCTCAGGTATTTCATCGCTTAGCTCCAATTCATCACTTGGCCCAGGGCTTTCATATGTTGAGACATCCTTTTGTTCTACGTCATCACCTAATTGTTTGTGCTTCTCCCCTCCCCGCACCCCGACCGCCGACCAGAGAGAAAGTCAAGGAGCCCAGCAGGGTCCAGGTGCTCACTGCCTCCGCGGCCTTGCCAGGACGCTTGGCGCTGCAGGGGAATGACCTAAACACTCTTCCTTTTCTGTTCTTTGTCTAGGGTTATTTGTTGTCAGTTATTATTAGCATTGCCATTAGCTTTTCTTTCTTTTTAATTTAACTAGCTGAGAATGTTAGTGTGTTTCCATTTGGGGTAAAATTGAAAGCCACCAATTGTGAGACAAAGCTCTGAAGT